AGAATTAATCCCAACCGAAAATTTCGTGATTGTACCAGAGTCTTCTGATTGATTGCTGTTTGCTATTTGTGTTTATGGAAGAGGTTTTTTACTTCTCAACTTAGTGGTTTTGAGCATTTTGTAGAACTCCCTGTGACGTAGATCGGGGTATTAGAGCGCTCCAGTCGGAGAGTAAGGCTAAAATTCAAAATTTTGACCTCTGCTCATGCGGAATTCATTTGTATTTTGTATCTGTGACATGTACTTTTTGTTTGCAATGAAGTAGAGCAGGTTTCTTTGTTTGATATTTGCGGCTCCGAGCTGTTTCATAGATCAAATTTTCTGCCCTCTCACTTTCCAAAAAAATTTCAAAGCTGAGCGGAGTTCCAAACCAGCACCGCAGATTATCTCATGTTTCCGACTTGTAGGGCATTGCCCTCTGTGTTGGAAAAAAAGAGAACAGGAAGTGACACCAGAATTGCTTAAGAAAAGTGCAGAGCTTGACCGATGTGGCTTAAACAAATTTTAGTTGTAATTGTAGTTATAGGGTCACGAAGAAGGAAGAGGGGACAAAGAGGTAATGGAGGAAAGTACGAAAACTGAAAGAAATTCGATTCAGGGATCCGGTTAAGTGTATCTCAGCGCAGTAAGCATGGAATTGAACGAGAGCTTGTAAAAATGTGGTGGGGTGCCATTAAGGTTATGGGACTCCATTTTATATGGCATGAAAAGTGGAAGGTGGATTGTTTTGGGCGGAAAGATACCAATTTTCGGTCTGAGGAGTGACAGAATCGAGATATACTTTTCCCATCATTCGGTTAGCTGAGTGTTGAAAATAACATTGGTCTAAACTGTGTTTCTCGTGAAATATTAGTTTGTTTTCAGTATAAAGCTTCTCTGGGCACCAATTGTGGATTCAGTTTACTGGAAGCGCATAGGCCGTCGAAAATCGTGGATGGTTCCGTGCCAATATCTTATCGGCATTTTTATGCTTTTACTGTCGTACAGAGTTTCGGAAATTATGGGTGACAGTAATATAGGCAAGTTTATTACTTCTTTGTTCATGCATTTCTGTGTTTGAAGGAGAATTTGAATTCAAAAATGGGTCTTTGAAGGAGTTGTTTCGGAACAGATCTCACTTCAGTAACATGTTTTCCCTACTACCTCATTTCTACTTCGGTT